ATTAATTAATTAACAACATATATTCATCGGATGCAGATTCAGGATTGGAGGATGAACTATAAAAATAATTGAGCTTGATGTTAAAGGCAGAAGCCAATAATCAGATGGAGTTAAAACAAATATATTGTTTTTAATCAAAATAAGCAATTATCTTTGGATAAGAAAGAATTCCGTTAAATTGATAAGAAATAAAATAGAAAAGATAGTTTCTATTTTGATTCGATTAATGCAATTAACCCCCATTCCATATATCTCTACTGATATACCCCAATCGGATACTTAGAGCTTTTTCAAATCGGAAAAAGTACGCCTCTGCATCTACTGCTTTTTTCTATAACTCCTCCCGATTTTTAAAAATCGGACCTGGCAACATTGATATAAACTAGACTTGCAACGAATATTCGATTACTATTCGGTATTCGGCCTATTCGGCTGTTTTTATTATATTAGGCCGAATACCGAATATCTACATATTATTCGGCCGAATACCGAATACGTAAATAATATATTTTGTCATAGAGAAATAATTGGTAAAATGAAAAATTGAAATCGATTGATTACGTATATACCTATTCATGTTTTCATTTCTGTTATACAATTATTTAAGTAGTCATTGGTATATAACACAGGTACATAATCATCTTCTGAATTGGAAAAATGGACGATTCTATGTATTTGAATTATTGTGGTAATCAAAATTTAGAAGGGTAAGCTTCTCATTTCTTTTATAATCATTTATTGAGTAGTCATTGGTACATAAAACAGTTAACAGTTTTTAATTAACAAACAAGTTAACAGTTTTTAATTAATTTAAAGTAAAGCAATAATTTAAAGTTTACGCGCCGTTTCTGGCCATATCTCAAAAGTTGGTTTTGTCATTTAGTCGCATTTTAGCTTGAGGACGGCAGATTAGAACAAAACAAAGGAGCGCGAAACTATCACGTCTGTATAAGTTTTTGGCGCTAAAATCAAGCCGAATACTTTTGCCTAATATTCGGCTATTCGGTCAGGGGCCTCGCCGAATATTTGGTATTCGGTATACTGCCGAATATACTATTCGTTGCAAGTCTAATATAAACCTAATGTCTCGAAAAGTGCAATTATCAGTTGATATGTGCAAACAGCACTGTCATCAATTTGCTATCCGTTAAACTGATTTATCAGCTGCAGCTGATGAATTTATACTAAACAGAGAATAGTCTTATTTCCACGCCGATTTTTCGGACCGAAACCAATTTTCTACAAAGACAATAAGTACGATCTAAAAACGGCGTCATCAGAGAAAGTGAAGACGAATTTTATTTGAATCCGTTAATACGTTTGAAAGTGACTTCGGGATTAACGTGCGACTCTATTAAGATAGATTTAGAGTCTGAAGTGGCGTGGTGGAATTGATTTCATGGCCATTTTCACGGTGAGCGAGCCGAAGAGATTTTTCTTTGGGAACGATCTCTATGCGTCGAGTGGAATGGAACTCCATTATTCATTTTAGTATGAATGAACGATTCCTGAATGATGTGTGCTTTAATAAGCTGCAGTGCGTAACGGTTCTATTAGTCATTATTATAATGTAAACATTAAATAATATTAACAGAGGTAGGCAATAGCAGATTTTTTGCTCGAATTGGAGCGCCCGTCTGGGGACGTAACCTCCAACTTATAGAAAATCGCAGTAAAATAACAGTATCTACCCTTTGGTTTTTTGTTTCTTTCGGTGAGTAAGGTTCCAGGTCTTCAGCACAGTAATATTATCTATCTATACAATATTGTGACTCGGCCCTATCCTTGAAATAACTGCCTACGGCCGAGCGGGGCGTATCCACGCGGTAGGGCTGCCCGCCTACAGTATTTTAATTTCATCTACGTAATTGAGTATCTTTCTAGTTTTGTTATTGTAAATATTTTATTTCATATGGAAAAAAATGTTTAGAATGAATAAGAAAGTGTTACTTATGCATGTTATTTTAAGTGTAATATTTAATAAAAAAAAATATAGATTTGAGACAGAAAAATATTTACGCCTCGACTGAGACGTACGAAAAGCTTTATTATTAAATTTAATTGTATAGTAAATACGCATTCGTATAAAAAGTTTAATTATTGAAGAGTTCAAGCAACCAAAACCAGCCTAATATCGACTATTGCTCTTTGCCACATTAAATTATGTAGGTATCTACTTAATTCAATCAAATATTCACAATACAAACGTTTAAGCACGGCTAACTGCTTAAAAACAATTCACACCGTTCGGTCGTCGCTGTGGCGCATTCGCGACAGTGTTACCAACCCTTACCAAAATTTTACCCTAAGTATTTTTTAAATTCCCCTAAAATCCCCTAAATATAGAAATTTATATGTACCTACTTATCTTATTACCTAAATTTTTTGCTCATAAATTAAAACGTTTCATATTTAGTTACAGTAAATTATTTATTGAATAAATACATTTTCCGAATGGAAAATCAAAAGAAAATGAGCTGACAGGCTGTTAAATCTTATTTAGCAGTTTTGATTGGTGGAAGACAAAGAACTTTAGTCCATACAGCCTTAAGAAACAACCTGCCACACAGTGAGTTCAGTCGTTTCATATCGTGGTGCGTTCCATTCTACGCACAAAACTGAAAGAAAACACACGCTTTATTTTTCGATTTAATTGCAAGTTTTGTTAAAAGACCCTAAAAAAACCCCCAAAAAATTCCAGCCCCTAAAAAGTCCGTTTTTTAACCCTTCTAGCCCCTAAATCTGGGAGCAACACCCCTAAGTTGGACTGCGACTGGACTGCCCACCGGGTGCCGCGCGAACTCGAGGCGTAGGTATGACACGCTTTCCGACCGTTTGCATGAAGATAGAATACTGTATAGATAATATTACCGTGGCTCCACGGTGTAGGGGATTGGTTCAGAGTACGCAACGGTGCGAGTGATATTTTTGGATTCGCAAGCGTTTATAGCCTGGGTTCCGAACCTGGGGGTAATTACCCCTCCGGGGGTAAATCAGCCATACTTGGGGGGTTAGTTAGTTAGTTAGTTCTTCAGGGCGGTTTCCGCACTTAGTCCTAATTATTGGACCATTGTGCGTGTCTCAAAACATTCCCGCTTACTCCAGCCAGCCTATATCGGTCCAGAAGGAAAGCAGCCTTGGTAGACTGCTGCAAGCTTCCGGAAACGATTCTGGTGACTGGAGAAGTCGTGCCCGTTGGTCGGCCACACTCCTGCATTCCATGATGACATGCTGTGGCGTTTCTTCTGCCTCCATGCATCCTCTGCATAGGGGGCTATCTGTAACTCCTATTGTATATAGGTGCTTGTTTATATACTTGGGGGGTAACAAAGAACCTAATTATATGGTCAAATCTAAATAATAAGAATATACTATATAATAATACTACTGAATAGAGCATGCGCTCCTTCTTGCTAGCGAGCCCGTGGGGTGCTGAGTGTGGGAAGCGGGGCGAGATTTTCTCCTGATGATGACATTGTTAGAGACGAAGATGTAGCGGCCAAATTGGAATTTTTTGAACTGATAATAACATCTTAAAGTCGGGGTAAAATCTGTTTTCCTAATAGGTTACAGGGGTAGCAGTATTCGAAAGGTTAGGAAACACTGGTCTATAGGGTATGGTGGCCGCTTTCCATCAGCAGGCCAATCGCGCTATTTAATATTTTGAACGATCCACTTAAGTTCAATTAAGTTTCAATCTTAGTCCAATTCCAATTTCAACTCAACTTTATACGAAATCGGTATCGCGCTAAGTATCATCTGTTAACTGAACTGCAAACGAAGCTGGGACGAAGATGTGTTAGGAACTCTAGAGATGTCCCATAGTATTTCAAATGATACGTGTGATACTTACTATTTGAGTAAACAATGGTGTCGATTCTGGTGTGATTCTCTAAACTTAAAACTAAATTTAACATCAGTCTTTCCCTTTCATTCTGTATAGAGAATGACAAAGATGCACTGTTGTCAAATTTAAGTTTAGCTTAAGAGAATCATGTCAGAATTGACACCAATGGTATCGATTCTGGCATGATTCTCTAAACCTAAACTTAAATTTGACAACAGTATATCCTTGTCATTCTCTACACAGAATGAAAAGGAGAGACTGATATTAAGTTTTAAGTTTAGAAAATCACGCCAGAATCGACACCAATCAGAGCTCGACTAAGTAATTTTACTACATCACTAGTCTTTTGATTTTGACAGATTGTTGAGTTGCTGTCAGTCAACTGAAAAGTCCGGAGTTTTTTGTGTACACAAAAATTATTAGTAGATTATTCGAAGAGGAAATGGAAGAGCGCCGCCGTATCACGACCGTCCGCCAGCTAGAACTCCTAGTGGAATATCTTGAAGCCCACAAAGATCTCGCTCTTGGCAGGGTCCGGTCAAAAGAAGCTCGTTCCGTTGCATCAAGACTTTGGAGGGAAGCTTCCGAAATTTTAAATGCCGAAGGGCCTGCAAGGACTGCCAAAGAGTGGTCCAAAGTTTGGAACGACCAAAAATGTAAAGTGCGTGCAAAATTAGTAAATATAAACGCTAATAATAGAGGAACAGGAGGCGGCCCGAATATTGCACCCACTTTAACGGCCATCGAAGAAAAAATAGCAAACATTTTAGGTAGGACTGTGGGGCCTCTGCCCGGTGTTAGCCAGGACCAATTGGGGGACATTATGGTGATTAATGAAGAGGTCATGCAAGACATTGCGGCAGAAAATGTTGTGGGTGAAATAGAAGTGGCAGAAGAACCGGTAAATATTTCACCTACAATAAATCAAGAACAATCGATCTTGTCGCCTTCACCTAGCCTGACAGGGCAAGTGCCATCACCGCCCCCGCTCACTGAGAGACGTACAATAAGAGGTCGCAGAAGATCCCAGTTAGCAGATCGGCCACGACGAGAGCGCCCATCAGTCTCTAGATCAGCTCTAGAGGAGTCTAGAGCTATGATTCTAGAAATAGAAACAATAAAAGCCAATGCCTCTTTAAAAAATGCAGAAGCACTGAAGTGTTTGGGTGATTCATTCAAATTAATTGCTGAGAGCATTGACAGGATGAGCCGCAAATTTTGCCAGGAGTAAATTAATATGGGTTTATTAAAAGATGATTTTATTTTGTTTTAATCTTTAATAAAACATATTAAAAATATTTTTGTTTTTCTTAATTGACAGCCCTGTCTAACCACAAGCGGTTTATGAGAGCCTCTCGGCGCGCACGGCCTAATTCTAGGTCTGTCACAGAATAAGCATTTCTTATATGAGATTCTCTCACACTTGCATGCTGAGTCAGTCTGCGCTCACAAATTGCTTCTTCGGCAGTAAGGGGAGAGAACGATATATTTTCTCCATGTGCTATATTGTGTAAAACACAGCATGCATTTGCAATTCTTGCTGCAGCACCTGGAGAATAATGTTGCTTCCTATCAACCAAAAGGCACCTGTAAAAAATATACAGTTAAAAGTCCTTAAGCTAATTCATTGCCGGATGTTAGTAATGTAGGGATGTAATATATGATAATAAAAATTACATGTCACATCTGTGTCGGATGGTTGGGTTTAGTAGGTAAATTTGTTTAAGATTTTTTTTTTAAAGTCTGTTAAAGACCCAACTCCTTAAAACTAAAAATGAAATAATGATATTTGAAGTTGATGTCAAGCCATGTTTAGCAGGGTGATCATGATAGTATAGATAGTATCTATTTCAAATATAAGAGTCAGTCAATCTATGTTTATTTTTTGAACTTTGTTCTATTTTTATTAAAAATTACTTTATAGTAATATAATATTTTATACTAAGTTTGGGTTTGTTGCAATGTACCTTGTTTTTAGCAAGTTTCCGATTAGTGTCCATGAAAGTTTAAAACAATATTTATTTTTCTATGTTTAGCGTATTACAGAATATGCTACAAGTTGATATTTGGGACACTGCTAGTATATTATGTACTAAAACCTTCCCTGAAAAATACGCATTTATATACCGAAAACCCCATCCAAATCGGATTAGTAGTTTTTTAAATAATTAAGGACAAACTTACATACAGGTCAAACTGAACTGGTTTTTTTAATTCTTTTAAAAACAGTTTAGTTTCAGCAATTTGCTGTACTATTGTACCAACTCAGTACCCACTACATACAGTATAAATGCTAGTTAGTTGGCACACTTACTCCATGTGATATGTATATTGTATATCTATTATATTATTCATGCAGATCTGTCAGGTAATTTTATTATCAAGCCACCTTATAGGTGGCTTAAATTATTTATCTGTCTTGGATCACTTACACCTTGATGCACTGCCAACCCTTTAAGACAGTATGATTCCATAAATAGTTTTTTATTGCAATTAAATTGACAGTGATTAATACAGTTATAGAATACCTGAAACGGGCTTTTAGAACTCCTATACAACGCTCAACAGTGTTTCTCGCACTTAAATGTAGTTTTTGATAGTGTTCCTCAGGAGAATTTGGTTGAGGGTTTGATAGTGGTACCATCATAGTAGTTCTTAATGGATAACCACTGTCTCCTGAAAATTAATTGAAGTTTTTTATAAGTAACATTGCTTATATATGTATATAGCAGTTGTTGCAACAGTAGTGATCAAGCCTTCATCACCACAGATCCTGCATTCTAAACACTAGTAGGGTCATTTGTTACTGTAATGAGCACAAATATGTATTTCTGCATCATGGATGTAAAAATAAATTCTTATATAGTTTGTTTATAATAAACATTATTTAGTTTCCATAGTAAAAACCCCTATTTTAATTTTAATAAATTCCAGACAACTCCCAAGAATAAAACAATTAATTTATTATTTATAATCATAAAATACCTACCCAAGAGATATAAATCCTCTCCAGATATGGTGTGAAGTCTTTCTATATAAGCCCTTAGTGGGTGATTAGCCCAAACAACACTATCATGTGTAGCACCAGGATAACTTGCATCTACACTTATAATATTAAGGTTGGAATCACATATCTGTAAATAAAAAAAAAATGTTCTTTTTATCTATAAAATAGAAAGGAAACCAAATCTTTATCTTCTGAATAAAGTTACTCACAATCAAAACATTTAATGAGTGATATCCTTTTCGATTGTAAAACCTCTCCTCATGTTCATTAGGTTTAACAATTGCCACATTTGTGCCATCAATGCAAGCCATCAAACCAGGCATTCTAAATTTGCTGTAAAACCTGAGATAAGAATTATATTTAAACAACATAATAATGTGGTGTACCTACTATCACAATTTATTGTTAATCACTTACTCTCTTTTTAATTGTTCTCGCTCTTGCAGACGAAAGGGGAAAGAAATAAATTTATTAAGTATATTTCTATTATTTAAGGCCATTGTAACTTGCTTTACAGCTTTGGAAACGCTGGATTGAGATACACAATGCCTCCTGCTGTCTCCAACTATGGTCTGGTAGGATCCAGTAGCAAAAAATGCTAATGCCACCAAAATCTATCATGTAAAAACAGGAAAAAATATTAAATTTAGCTGTTGCACAGTTAAATGTAAAAGAAACTTGGGTTTTCAAGTAGAAAGTTATAGGTCCTCACAAATATTTTATGCTCACCTTAGTTTCAATATCTAAAGCATCCGATCGTAGAGTTCGTGGCATATATGGTGTTATTTCAGAAACTAAATTGTGAAAAAGATTTTTCTACAGGCGGTACCTTTTTATAAATTGCCTATCGCTCATGTTATATGCTCTATTTCTTATTCTTGCTCGAGCATTTCTTACTTTTGCTCGTGCTCGAGACAATGCAACATCATATTCATGAGCCCTCTCGATTAAATCAATATATGCATTAAGCATTTTTCTTAAAAAACAAAACTTTATACAGAAATGGTCGAGAAATAGTTGGATTTAATCTACTTTATGTTTTTGACTGAAGTTCACTGGAGTGCGGTCCAATCGTGATACATTTACAACTCAACTAGCTGTCAAAACTTTAGCGCGATACGAAATGTCATAAAAAGTTGCAGTTCATTTATGGTTCAATGCCTTTTAGTCATTTGACATTTAGCGCGATCGGCCCGCAGGCAGGCTTGCACGTGTTTTCCCCCTTTTAACGCAGAAAAAATGCCTTAATGTGCAAATAAGTTATATTAACATATCAACATATTACCCAATCGGTGCGTGCTTTCAATAAATAATTTATGGTACCTCGCATCTCCATTGCAAAGTGTTACATCTACATATTCCAATTTATACGCTCCACCACAACCACATATGTGTAACGTCAGCTGCGAAAACATATTAAAAAAAAACACTCATAATGTTCTCACAACAAATGGGAGAAGGGTTCCGCGAAATATCCGCGACACGTATGACTGCAATATAGTTTTTATAAGACGGATGTTATATTTACATTTGCCATGATAACAAGTGTTTGTTGTGACAAACATCGTGATAGTGACAGGCAAGCAGCGTGCCGCAGTATATGTCGTTATCCTTATTCCAAGTAAAATGATAAGGATATTTGATTAACTTGAGCATATTGCGACATGTGTGTTTTTTTTTTTATTTGAAAGAGGCTACTAGTCGTATTATCATTAAGTGAAAATCGTATTTTTTACAGGACAGCAGCTCTAAAGTATTTTCTTCTTATCTTTAAAAATATACATGTTCGAAAATGTAAGTATGTAAATAAAACAAATATATTAGGTATCTAATACTGTATATGATATTTGTAAATTTCAACTGTTAAAAATATTGAGTTACCCGTCGTACAATCGAGTAAATACCACATACCACACGCGCAACTGCCACATGCGTATTTTTCCTCACAGTGTTGTTTAGACGCATAATTAAGTAAGTGACACTTATGTGTATGTCATATTTCGATATCTCAATCTTTTTTGTTTCATTAGCCGAAAGATGTGCGTTTGGAGAAGACAATTGAATAAAAAATTGAAAATCACCTAAGTGCCACATCCTGGACTTTACGTAGGGACCGTCGAAATGGTCCAGCTGGTCCAAGATCACCATAGCGTATTAGACTATTCCGATACTAGTAACATTGTTAGCGCATCCCCTCCCTTTTTCTATTAATTTAATTTTTGGCTTTAGTCTTCTGTAATATAATGACGAATTGTAATCACTGATGTTTTCTTAATTGCATTGCATAATCTTGCAAATTACGTTAATGCGAATTTAAGCATTTATTTATGTCTCCGACGCCAATAAGCAAACGATGGAGTAAGGGCGCTTGTTAAAGATACGATTTCTACCCGGGTCTAGGGACGGTTTTAAACCGGGTCTAGGGACGGTTTTAAACCGTGTCTACGACGTCCGGTCGTCAGTTAGGTATGGGGCACTATGGAGGTTTGTCAACGACACCGGCTCTAGCGACGGATTGGTGTCGGTACAAACGTACAAACCGTAAACAAAGCTGGCACCAGCCCGGGTAGAAAGCGTGCCTAGACCCGGAGGAAAACCGGTCATTAACAAGAGCCCTTATGTAAAAATTTCCCACCCAGTCATGCCATTAAGAAAGAAGGAAAAAGAGTTTTCTACCTCATCATCATCATCAGCCTATTAATGTCCCCACTGCTGGGGAACAGGCCTTCCCTATGGATGGAATAGGGAGATTGGGCCATGACCCACCACGCGGGCCCAGGGCGGATTGGTGGGTGCTAACGATTGCAGATGCAGCCGGGACCAACGGCTTAACGTGCTTTCCGAAGCACGGAGGAGCTCGAGATAGTAAGTTTTGGTCACCCATCCAATGACCGACCACTGCGAAAGTTGCTAAATTTCAACGATCGCAGCCGAACGCGCTAACCACTTGCGCCATCGAGCTCTTCGGCCCGAAGCTGGTAACTGGTGGTTTCACTTTTGAGTGAACGATGAACGCAGCTACGGCCTAAGCGCATTTATTTAACACTTTGTATTTTACTGTATGACACAGCAATCAAAATGCAGGTGAACTATTATTGTATATTTCACATTATGCAATGGAAGGTGACTTTATGAATCATCTCATGTTGAATCATTTTTCAACTTGACGGCTCTTGACTACGGTAACAGGGAGAAAAACAGCCCCTGCTGAGCTTTTTACCGGATATTCTCAGTACAAGGTCTCCCGCCGTATATTAACGAAAAGATGGCGTAGCTTCTAGACATTCATGAGTACTTGTAACAGCCTAAACTGAATAAACAATTTTTGAACTACATTTGGATTCAAAAGGCTGGTGTTTATGTTAGCCTCGTCGCTGTGGGATTCGCTTCATGACTTATTTCTAATATATGAATATATTGTTCTCAGCGCTCGTAGCGTCGCTCTAAGCCGCCGCTTACAGTGACAAGATTGAGGCTGAGCCGTAAGGCGCTCGCTTATGAGTAAGCCCACATAAACTCTGGTGTCTGCGCTACCTTGTATCTTAAAGCCACAATTCCTCTTTTAACTCGCTCACCTAATCGTCTATTCATTCAATAGAATTATTTCTTGATAAAGTCAATAAGGGAAGACGTGTTTGCGTTGCCAGTTAAATAAAATGCGGGGCCCACGAACAGCGTGTACGTAACCCGCGTCGCGTCTCCCGGAAACGCGGGTAAATACGACATAATGGCGTTTTTATGGCATCTCGTAAGGGGGCATTAAAAAGCCTAATATCGCGAGACGGACGTATATTAAACACCTGGCAATATATAGCTTTCTGTAGGTTTACGCCGCTACTGGATGTCGTTTGTTGCTTTCAATTGAATACAAGAGAATGTTTCTTTAGCTTTACGTGGAAATGGGTATTGCTAGTATTGGCTTTTATTGTATGATGTTGGTATGATTTCTTACATTGTATTTAATGAATTCGTCTGGGTTGGTTATTAAGTTTTTAAAGAAGTCCCAGAAGACTCAAAAGCAACTGAAGAATAGGATAACTATAAACGTACTTTTGCTGCGGCACAACCTGAAATTAGAACAAAGAGGAAAAGCCGTTAGGTGAGCCTGGCATGCAATCCGTTTTGATAATAAAAAAAAAATAATTATCTTGAGCTTAGAGTCCCGTTCTGTGGCTCACGACCTTGGGTGAGCGAGCCGCGAAATGAAACCAGAGCAATGCATTCAAATTAATACTCTAAATGAACGGAATAAAGATTATTTCTATACTCAGCTGCTTTGTAGTTTCATTTGAGGTACATTTTTATTAAGAGATTATAGAATTTGCATATCCGACAGCTTCAAATGCAAGAACGGTAAGCACGTGCTCACGCTTAGCAGAATTAACTTCAATGTTGTTGACTTATCGATGGGATGAAAATTTAACTGACAAGAGATTGTCTTAAACTGATGCTATTACTTTCGCAGCAATAATGTTGTAAAACGATTATTAGAAAATTGGAACTACATTCTACACAAAATCCGGAAGACACTGAAAACCTCAAAAAAACCCAAAATTTTCATCTTGAACTATCTGCCAACCAATAATTCTCATGAAAAGCGTATTTTTACGAAATGGTCCGTATCCGTTAGTGGATACGTGAACCAGACACCTATCTCGCTTGTTGTTACTAAAATAAAGATTCTTCTGAAATGTTTTGAGATCTCAAGATAAAGTTATACCCACACTGAATTAGTGACTGTTCGAATTGTTTCACACGTCTCCAAATTTTAGCTTTTCTTTCTGAATGTTGGATTAATAAATGTCACAAACAGTTGTCAACTTCAGTGTGGTAATACCTCAGGATAATCACGTCCACAATAACTATGATAAACAAAACAGAAGAGCCAAAAGAACACCATAACAAAAATGGTCCTTCTTCTGTTTTTGAAAGCTATATCAATCAACACAATCAAAATCCCTAAGCGCTTGTCAGGTTTACCCCAAAAACGGCGATCAAATGCGGGCCGGTGTGTACATATTGCCGTTGAGTCCACGGCTAGCTGATTGATTGCAGCGGACGGCTAATTAAGGACGGCTATTTGTGTGCCCTACGGCTGAATTGGCAAATTCAGAAACGCGACTCGACCGTATGCCGTGTAAGCTGCGGATTTTGTGGAAGCGAACACTGCGCTTTCGGATGGATTTAAAAATCATATGGTTTATACTAAAAGAAGGAATGACATATTAAAAGCACATCACAAACTACTGCCGGAATGGACAAGAGAAATTTCGCAAATGACGCTTCGCATGTTAGCATTTAGTTGAATGAACTATGGAGTTTACTAACTATGAAGTTAGTTCACAACACATTGCTATTTGTGTGCCCTTTGTCAATTCAGACACACGACTCAACCGATGTAAGCCTCAGATTTGCTGACCTGAACACTGCGTTTGCGAAAGGATTTTAAATCATATGGTGTACTTAAAGAGAGATTGGCGTTAATAAAAGTACAGCACCATCTGCCGGATTGAAGAAAAGTTCCAAAATATTTGCAAAAAATTTCAAGTAAGATTTCGTAGCCAAGTAAAGCCAAGCCATTTTATGTAAGAGCTGTTAAGCTGTGGAACGCTTTGCCTTTGGATATTAAACGTGCACAGACGAGGGACTCCTTTACTATTAAAATTAAGGAATATTTCCTCAAGCTGGACTCTGCCTGATCTTTTTATCTGTTTATTACTATTTATTGTATTTTATAGCTTCCTTACATACTTACATTACTATATTGTATATTATTATATTTATGTTTATTTATTTATTTTTACAATGCACTAGCCCGCTGTTTCTACTATTTTTATGGTATGGTTTCATTTAGCCAAAGGTTGCCTGGTAGAGATTGCTACCTTAGCAATAAGGCCGCCTTTTGTGTTTTTGTTTCTGTGTTTTATGTTCTCTGTATTGTGTGTAATAGTGCAATAAAGAATATATTCATT